GGTTGAAGTCGCTTACTGAAGACCAATTTAAAGCACTCATTCTCATCTGCAGCCTTCAATATCAGAAGTTCTGTGACATTAGAACACGTTTGCTAAGTCGTTTGGACGAAGACCCAAAACTAACACTTAAAGATATTACAAACGAATATCAACACCTAATCAATCTACAGCGTGACACTACGATGGTCCAGCGTGGTGGTTCAGATCTTACCGAAGTTCATGTAGTCCAACAACCACCCAACTCGCATAAAACCGCCCTAGCGAGATCTAGTTCGGGTCAACAGAAAAAAAACAAATCCTCCTGCCCCATGCTGGCACTGCGGTGCATGGCATTTCGTTCGACACTGTCCATATAAACAACATCGGTGCAGGAAATGTAATGCGGGGGGTCATAAAGATGGTTTTTGTCGAAACAAAAAGCTGAGCAGCTCCAGAGGTAGCAGAAAGCCTACGCCTGGATCCAACACAAATTCATTGAGTCTAATAGCAAGCTGTCAGAACTCAACCCCAGGTGAGAGGAGATTTATTACCCTTAATATTAATGGGCACCCGTTCAGATTTCAAATAGACACTGCATCTGACGTAACAATTCTCTCACGAAAATATTGGATCAGAATGGGAAGACCACGCACGATGCCGACAAAACAGAAACCCCGAACTGCATGCGGTAAATATCTACGTTTGTTGGGACAACTAGATTGTAAAGTGTCTTTTCACGATTCGACATTTACCGGAGTATGTTACATCACACCAGCTGATCTTAATCTACTTGGGTTAGACTGGTTTGACCGGCTACATTTGGCTGACGTTCCGTTGAGCACCGTATGCCATATGGTGAAACAACCTCATGAACCTGAAGCATATTCAAAAGAACTAATGACAGAGGACCACGCGCAATGTTATCTGACAACCGCTATTCGTGCCTTGCCAGTCACAGCAGCTGAAATACGATCAGCATCCAAGAACGACTCCATCATAGAGAGAGCGATGAAGCACGTCACCAACGGCTGACCGCCAACTGGACTTGATGGTGACTTGAAGCAGCTTTACCACCGTCGGGACTCATTATGTGTCGTAAATGAATGCTTGATGTTTGGAGATAGAGTAGTGGTACCAGAGTCCCTTAGACCAACGGTGCTAAAGCAATTCCACACTGGTCATCCGGGTATAAAACGAATGAAATCCATCGCAAGAAGCTATACTTATTGGCCCCTCATGGACCAACATATCGTGGATTTAGTAGGCAAGTACACACAATGTCAGCAAGTGGCCAAGTGTAACGCGAAAGTACTGCCGGTCCCATGGCCACAGCCTGAGTATCCATGGTCCAGGATACATGTCGATTTCGCAGGCCCAATTAATGGAATCACCTACTTAGTCGTTGTTGATGCCTTTTCGAAATGGCCAGAAATCGTTCCCGTCATGCCACCAACGACAACCCAAATGATGAAACTTTTGACAGACATGTTCTCCCGCAACGGATTACCGGATATAATTGTATCCGAAAACGTTTCGCAGTTCACTTCAAGTCAATTTCAAGAATTTTGCAAACGCCTATCGATCAAGCATTTCCTCTCTTCACCTTACCACCCACAGTCAAATGGCCAAGCAGAAAGATTTGTGGATACATTCAAGAGAGCTCTAATGAAATCGAAAGGGGAGGGGACACCAGTGGAAACACTGCAGAATTTCATGTTTGTTTACCGAACAACACCTAGTGATTTGCTTCCACAGCAGAAGTCCCCGGCAGAGATCCTAATGGGAAGGAAATTGAGGACGATCCACAGTCTAATGTGCCCAAGAACCACACCACCACCACCACCACCTCAGACCAGATCTCACAAGCTGCAAGCATACGAGGTTGGATGCCCGGTGTTCGCTCGAGACTATAGAGCGAACCATGGTCCTTGGATCGAAGCATGTGTGGTTGGAAGATTAGGCCAAGTTATGTACGAGGTAAAGGTGGGAAGAGATACATGGACTAGACACAGAAACCAACTGCGGAAGCGGATAACGCCAGACCGCCTATCAACAGGAGCAAATCTCCCTCTTGACATCCTGCTTGATACCTTCAACTTACCAGCAGCCCCACCACGAGAAGAAGCTCAACAAGAAGCTGATCTCCGTTCCAGAAGGTGGCCTCCCAGACAACGGCGAACAACGGACAGGATGCAAGTCGACCCTAGAAAAGTGCGCTACTAAAAAGGGGAGGAGTGTTGGGGAAGATAGATCCCCAAAAACTCATAGTTTGTAATTTATCTTGTGGAGCTTGTATGCAGATGTATACGTGGGCATTTCTTACCACCCACGCACATAGTTGATTGACGAATTTATCGATTAAATGTTTAAATATTTCGATGGCAGTCAATTGACAAACTATCGATTAAATGTTTCAAAGCTCCATGACAATATCGATGTATATATAATTGTATATATACGTTTTGAAATTGTCTTGTAAAAAGTTTTCTGGTTTTCTGGTTGTTACAGAATATACTTTCATTCTAAGCTTGGTCTTCTCACTCTATATAGCGGGGCTGGGACGCGTCAATAGATAGCTTACTGGACCTTGGTCACCGAATCCTCGATCTCGTTCTCAAACTACGTGAACCCGTGATAGCTCTCTCTCTCTCAAAACCTAACACAAACAGCAAACACAATGATCAACAATATCTAAGTTTAATCGAAATTTTACCATGTTATGCATGAATATAAGGAGTTCAGAAACTGACGTATGTATAGTGAGAAATAAAATGGTATTACCATAAAATGCATACATAGAATTTCCATATATATGCATAGTGATTTAATCAACGAGGATGAATTTATGTGTGGGTGACCGACGAAATCAATCTCAACTAAATAACCACGACTATCAGTAGTGATAGTTTCACTCTAACACTGAAAATTGTATATAAGCACTTTGTTTTTCAGCGGATGCGTTATCTAGTCTAATTAGTTATTTCGGTGAATAAATCATAGGAGCTCGATTACATCATAGTCAGACCTAATTTTCATTGAATTTGTGGTCATAAACTTGCCTGTAAGATTCATTCATTTCAGTCTGATAGTTAGTTCTCAATAAGTTAATTGGTTATATTCATGGGTTATTCTCAGAAAACACTTAACGTTTTAAGGGTAGATTGAAATATCAATCGAGATTATCAGTATGTCTGAAGACTCACAAAGTCAAAGATTCATAATTGAAAATCAAGGATTATTTCTCCGTTTCACTAACTAACAGGTAATTGACATGACGGGATAAGAAGAGGACACTATTTAGGTTAGTATTTTCTGCATCGATTCACCGTGATCATCGGTCAGGATGAGAACTGTGAACTTTCGTTCAGTGTAACAATTATATTCCTTGCAACAATTATGTGTGATAACTGCTCAGAACAATATTCCTCTTGTCTCCAATGGGATAATTTACTCAACATAAGAGTGAATTTATTTTCATTGGGATTTTTATTTAGTCTATTCTAGTCTGTATTAAATTAAAATGAACTCTATTCAGAGTGACTTGTAGAATGTGATTTTTTTTTAATTTCATATATTTGACATTTTTGTAATTAATAAGTAATTGGCTATACAGATCGATATATACATGAATGTATTTTCGACTAGGGTCGTCGAATTTTGGAGTGAACAAATCTTCACTTGTACCAATGTTTTGTATTCTTACTTCGAGTTGCGAGCATTTTAATGGTTCCTAGTTTCCAAGTAAAAGTAACAGTGGTAATCCGTATATTACAGTAGTCGTCTAAAACCTTATCTCACACATGATGATGTTCTTCAAAAATGAAGTAAAGTTTTCGAAAAGTATAACAAGTAATAACTTTTCATCTTCATGATTTTGATTCATTTGCATGGTGCAAGCAATAAAAATAAGGTGAAGATAATCCCACAAATATCAACAGCTGGTTTTTAAAAAATTTTGAATGATCGTTGAATGTGTTTAAGGTAAAACCCATAGATGATGTTCTTAACAAGATTAGTGTGCCAACCAACTAGTTTCGAAACACTGTAAACTCGCTAACTAATCTAAATAAACAAACTCTGGGAATTGTGTCAGCTGGATGTTCACTCTGTGATTCGAACCCAGTACCGTTCGCTCCAAACGCCATCGCGTTAACCACTTAGCTACTGAGTCCTGATAGCTCTTTGTTTGTGCGATGGGGTGAAGTTTAAATTCACTTGTTATTGTTTACTTGAATCTTCCCATTGATGTTTAACACTGCAATTGATCAGTTCCAGCATTGATCAGTCCCAGAGTAAGCATCAACTCTGAGATGCAGGTACATCCAGCTGACGAGTCCCAAATAGGACGAAATGCTCTTCAAACTGGATTCTACTGCCAGCCACTATCCATCTGTGCTTATAATGCTTGCGAATTAATGCAATATCGAGGCAATATGAACAGTATGCACATATGCCAATAAGAGACTAATTAATTTCAGTTCTAAACATAAATGGGAAGATTCAGGTAAACAATAACAATGAATTTGTTCTAAGAGTTAATTTTTTCAAATAATTAAGCAGATATAACCTTGAATAATTCTCCAGAGTGAACAGTTCAACAGATATTCAAAATCTGGTGCTGATCTCACTGGTTTTAATAAATCATCTAGCGATATATATTATCAGCCATTCATGCTATTCTACCATCAACTTAAGACTTTGTTTACATCTCTTCAGTTAGACGCCTTGATAGTCTCGTGCTTGTCTACATTCGGGTGTTGATAAACTAACTGTTTCGTTCTGATGAATATACTGCATTCTTAGAATGAACGATCTAGTGGGTGTACACAGAGTTTTGAGGGGCTTGGTGGCAATGCTATCATATTCTGCTGTATCAAGGATGTCCATAAATACTGAGATTATAATCATTAGTAGAACTAAAGTCGCTAATAATCAGAATAAACACAATTAGGTTTTCTTCCCTATGATAATTTCAGTAACGAAATACTTTACTCCCACTTCAAGATATCAATATAAAAGAATGAACAAGATATCATTATATTTATTTTAATAATGTAGCAGAACATCATATAACGATATTATGCACACTGAGCAGTAGCTGATTATAGTTCTGTACAAGAAACTAACAGATGAGTAGTTTTAAAATATTTATTCTTTTCTTTATAATGTATATTTGAATCCATGCATACTCATTCTAGATATTAGAAACACCAATCGAAAATCACTTTTGTTTGGTATACAAAATGTTTTTCTTTCGTCGATTACTTTTTCAACTTATTAATGATATTGTTTCGGGTATTAAAGTATTCTAATCCTGAACTAGGTATCTTATCCTCTTGTGTATCATTTTCATAATCTGTACTACTTTTAACAATTAGGAAAATAAATAATGCATAAATATCTGTTTATACTTAGTGCAATGATTTAAAATGAATGAATGAAATTAATCTTAAATAATATCAGAAAGTCAATATATTCAAAACATGACTACCATTCCAGAAAACAGTTCGAAATTTTCCCAACCATAAATTAGTCTCAATTTCATAACTTTTTGCTTTGTTCAGACTCATTTGTAGATAAACTCATTATCCAAATTATTAGTTGAGAATACTAACAGTAAAGTAATTAAAATCTCTTTGACCTTAATTATAAGGGACATATAGCAAATGGAGAACATATGCAGAGAGTTTTTCACAATTTGGTCTGAAAAACACTCCTTCAAACGGCATTATCTATATATATATCGTGTTAATGTAGTATCATGTAGACAGTCTTCCACTCCCTTAGGTTTGGGAATCTGACTAGTAACTACAGTCTTAGAGGGTTTCACAGTATATTCTACTGTAGTATTTCATCTAATTGCACAAGCACTGAGTCGTAACGCAAACTTTTTGTTTGGAGTTTATGCTAAAGTTAGAAGATATAAAAGTAAATAGTCCAAATCTATCCACCTACATTGAATTTCGTAGTTCAAATATTTTCCACAGTACTTGACGAATTGATTAAATGTAGAAAAGACAGAATTACACACTATCAGTTTTTATAAATTTGTTATGATCTCTAAGATAGTAGAGTTGGGTGCGGTTAAGTAAATTATCAAATCGACAAACTGTAAACAGTCAGCTATTAGACTTTCCTACGGAAAGTCAGTAATTATCCAAACTTATTTTCGTTTAGGATGTATTCACTTCACTAGTTACGCTTTTCATCGAAGTCTTAGGGCAGTAATAAATACTATTAAGTTGAAAAGAATCACATCTTATATACGAAGATGTGTTTTGTTAAAACATATTGTTGACTAAGTAATAAACAAAAGATTAACACAGATTTTAGGAATCCGTTAATTCATACCAAGCTAGGTTAAATTATGGGAAGGTAACTTTGACTACGGAGATATATGCGTGGTCTTTATGCTATTGTCAAAATATTCAATCAGTATTACGATCAGCTAACTAAAACCTTTATCTCATCGGGTCCCACTGTCCCAGAAACGTTGATTTAAGAGCTACATCTTTTAAAGGATTCGGTATGAATATTTGCACTGTGATAGGAGACTGTAAGTGGTCTTATAGTTATCTCTACTGGGATTTGATAAGAGCATGGTATTAACATTAGGTGATTAAAGTTCTTGAAATGTCGATTAACGTGTGCTAGATGTCAATGAAGGACTCTTAACTGGTCCTTACCAAAATAAAATATTTCTAGACTGTAAAACGACATCATTTTACACAATCAATAACTGAAATGACAGAGGCGTCATTCAACTGGATTTTAATTACATTCACTTTACTGTAACATAGAATCCTTCTGAAAACTAGCCAAATTAAGGAAACCATTAGATATTTCGGTTCGACATTTGAATCAAGATAACTGATCTTTGAATCAAAATATGCAAATTATCAATAATAGTTTTCCTTAGAAACTGGAACAAAACTCACTTGCGATAAATACATGGAAAAAATCCTGATTTATTAAATTCTTTGAACCCTAGATCTTATAAGATGGAATCCTTAACCGAAACTCAAGAACAGAGAACTTAGAGATAAACAGGTAGATCCTAAACATGATGGTAGATACAATATTCAGATATTTACAAGTCTCCAGGTCCTTAAACAAAGGTATACGTACGGAAGCCTTTAGCTAGTCATATGTCTTGTTATTAACATCACCGATTAAGTTTGCTTCAATGTCAGTTTACAAAGAGTATACGCAAAACTTTACTAAATAGAAACAACCAAGTCAAATTACGGTAGTCTTAGAACAAATATGGAGCTACCTATCCCATACACACCAAAAATGCAGGTCAAGACAAACAGTGTAGCAGCAGTCTCTGCATCAGTAAGCATCAACATGCACAAGGGAAAACCAAGATCCTTAAATATAACACAGAGAATACCAACCAACCCAATCACACATGACGGTAAAAACTTTCACGTACCTAGTAAGTACCATCTCTGAACAAGGAGGATCTGATGCAGATGTAAAGGCACGGATTGGTAAAGTAAGGGTAGCATTCCTACAGTTGAAGAACATATGGGAATCAAAGCAACTGTTAACCAATATCAAAGTCAGAATCCTCAATACTAGCATCTAGACAGTTCTACTGTACAGGGCCCAAACTTTGAGAACTACGAAATCATCATCAAGAAGGCACAAGTATTTATTAACAGTTTTCTACGCAAGATACTCCATATCCACTGGTCGATTAACATCAGCAACAACCTACTGTTGTAGAGAACAAACTAACTTCCAGGTGAATAGGAAATTCGGAAAAGACACTGGAGGTGGGTAGGACATACGTTGCGGAAGTCATCAAACTGCATCACGAGACAAATCCTGACTTGGAATCCTGAAGACGAAAGGAAAAGCGGAAAGCCAAAGAACACATAGAGTCGGGAATTTAATGTAGGCATCAAAAGAATAAATAGCAGTTAGAAACAACTGGAGAGGATTGCCCAGAACAGAGTTTGATGGAGAAAGCTGATGGGTGTCCCATGTTCGTCAACGAGGGGTAGCTGGTGTAAGAAGGTTAGTAAGTGAAGTATAATGAAGCAACCAGTGATTTCTGGAATTTAATTTTGATTTTACTAAAAAATTACATACGGTGACAGTCCTATTTGCTTCATACTGCAAGAGAATTCATTTTTTACTAGGAGTTTCCTGAAAGAATTAGTTTACATTATAACAGAAATTTGCAACACAATGTTAACAAAATTCAAAACCTGAAAATCCTAAGAAAAAGTTGAGCATCGAAAGGTCTTTTTTCAATAGGGGGTTTCCAAACCACATAGTTTAACTACAAAAAATGTATTGTATCTGTTTATGTATTAACCAAAATGAACAAAGTAGCTTTCTAAGGCCCACCGGTTGCAATCCGGAAGGCGAATGTAATGCGCTTTAGTTTTCTGTGCTAACGTATAACTACTGATGGTGAGGTGTATACAAATGTTAGTAGTATTCAGTGTTGGTTTCCTACAGAAATTAGTTTGCACGTGGTAGAACCTACAAAATGGTAAAAATGCTTCTTGAAATAAATGCACTGACAACTACGGTATTAAAGATCAGGTTGCATTCATTAATGAAATCTTAAAACCTACCGTGAACCGCTTCCTTTTTGAGTAGTATCGGAATCCGAGTCATACTGACTGTTAACCGTCAAGGCTGGACTCACTCTTTCATTGGATAAAAAGTTTATACCAGCATACATATCTATAATTGAAAATAGAAATTTGTGGATAAATGACTGAAAAAGATCCATTTAGAAGTAAAAGATGAAGTGACATTTCGTTAAAGTAAATGCTAAATGAGTTTATTTTTCTACAGATGTCAATTAAATACTGATGACCTAATTGTTTTGAGAAAAAACACATCATATATTTATAAGGGGTATGAAAATGCATCCAAAATTTAACTAACTTCATTAAGGAAAAATATGTTAACGTTTTCAGCAAACCTTCATTAAATGCCATCCAAGTTTTGTGACTCGGGTTTAGGGACGAGCATTCCCTATACAAATCACGTTTCGTTTTGAAATATCGAATCACTTATGAGCTCATATAGGTCACGAGTATAAAAGGCTCTGGGTATTTATTGTTTTGCTCAAGAACACAATTAGATAAAGCATATTGTGTTACCTGAGCTCACAAATGGATGGATCAACAGTGATCAAAACATGACGGAATATCGGCTTTTTTAAATCAAATGCACAGTAGGTCCTGGGTTCGAATCTCGCAGGGGGCGAGGTCGTGGATGCGCACTGCTGAGGAGTCCCATAATAGGACGAAACGGCTGTCCAGTGCTTCCAGGTTTTCCATAGTGGTCTAGCTTCAACTGACTCATGATCTTAATGATTGAAATGCACAAGTGTTGGCTATTATCAAATGAATGTTTTAAGATATACAGTATGTAATCGTACATTGGGAGGCACTGCACACATATCCCATAACTTAATTAATTTACGTACATTTCTCAAAAAGGTATTCGAAGAACGTGAATTAGTTTAAGAAGATTGCGAGATTACCTGAAATCGGCGAACGGAAAGAAGGATTAGCAATAGAACAACAAGGTAAGCTAAACTATTCACTGCGCCCTAGCCCCGCAAACTAGAAGGAGAAAATCAGATTTATGCGAGAGAAATGTACATTCCATAAGCGGTCGAAAGTACGAACGAACAGGTATACAACTATGCATATATATACCGTGTAAAAATATCCTTGATAAACTTCACAAAACAGCGTATTAAAAGAGGAAACGAACCAATGACATTTAAAGTCCTTCCAAGTGGAAAATACAAGTGCAAATTTTTAAAATAAAATTACAAAAGTAAGACGTTTATCAAGTGATTTATAGGGATCTAGCATCCCCAACAAAATTAGATACTGTTCAAATAAAATGTTGACTGTTCAGAGTAAGATGAATAGTGACATTAAAAACATTCTTTTCTATTTTTGTCATTCATCAGGGTTAGGATTTAGGGATACTGTCAATTCGCCTGTTGAATACATTCTACAGAGATAGAATTCCGAGTACATTGAGTCCAATACTATCAATTTTACTGTGCGATGACAACAATTTATTAATTCTCTGAAGAGATGACTTACACTGAGTCACGAAACGTCAGAAAATTTAATTTTTCTACTCATTCGGATATTACAAATATGTTAATTTATTTATAACAATCTACCCAATGCCCGGTTTATTGGAAATTATCAAGTGAAACCTTGGTAATGATATCTACAATCATATAAAACGTTTTGAGTAGTTCTTCAAGGTATTTCTAGTGTTCATTATACACGATATTTGATCTTCGCTCAAAAACTCAAAATTCCAACTCTAGTTGCCTGGTTACTTTACTACACTTTTGTCAACACGTTAATATGTATCTAGTATAAATATGCATTTTTATTATTGGTACAAGATTCCATTTAATACAGCCGTTGCAAAATTACTAGTACATCTGTAATCAAAAGCAAACGATTCCTTATTAATATTGTCCACATACCTGGATACAACATGTTCAAGTGATTCATATAGTTATTGTTTTCAAATGGTATGTGTAAAATATTTTCACCTCCTGCTGATCGCTTACGTCCCTCATTATTTGATGATAGTGACATTAGAAATGCTGCTGCATCATCAATGTCCAATCCCATTCCAAAGTAACCACGATTATCGTTATCGTCTCTATTAACAATATTATTTAAATCATCATCGGTTAATAAATTTGAGTGATATTGAGATCGAGCATGACCGACACCAAGGACAGCTGCTAATGCTGCCTCAGTTGTCGAGTCTGAATTATCAAGAAGACTAGGTTTGGTTGCTGTGTCAATCATTTCTAACCATTGGCTGTTATGCCAACGAAAACGTTCTGTTTGAATCCTCATTCTCCAATCAGCTTCATATTCCTTAAAGATAATAAGTATTAATAAGATTTGAATTGTGATTACAGAAGTTACAGAAACTCATGAAATTCAAAATATAAAACGTCTTATTTGTATCTTGGTAATTGATATCTTTGTCCATATATTTAATCTAACTGTATAAAGTTGACTTGAATTTTAGTAATGAGGTTAAAATAAGTAACATATATGTTTCCTTATTATTCAGGTTTTTCTCATATTTTCCATGAACTTAAGCGTACCTTCTGTTTGATTTTTTCATGAAAAGATATATTAAGACAATAGTGCACAATCAAAATGTTCAAACTTTATTGTGTTGACATTTGTGTTACAAATTGTCTACATTCAGAAGTATTGGCGAAACAAACAGAGGGAATGATGTGATGGAAAGAAAAGTCAAAATTCGATTGATTTACTCATTATGAGTTTTGTTCAACATTAATTCCATTTTCTAATTCAATGTGATGATCATTCAGTGTAGTATTCGGTTTTCTTTCTTCGTATGATATTTAATTTCTGTATAATATACGATATTTTTGTATTCCATTGATCTGAACTATGCTCTATATGTGATTTGTTATAACTCATATATGTGATTTCATCCTAATTATTAATCAAAATGGTGAACAATCAATATATAAATGAGTGTGTTTTTCGACTAGGTCGTAGTCGTGTTTTGGGGTTAATAAATCTTTAGTTATACCAGTCTTTGTGTCCTTACTTTCGCGTTGTGGGAATTTCAGAGGTCCCTCATTCCGAGTATAAGTGATAAGCGTTTCTGACACAACAATCAGCGACGACCAGATACAAAAAATAGCATTCCATTAACAAGTTATAACAGAGAAAGTAAGTTTATTGTGTTCTCGTTAGTTATTAATGAAGTGTGTCAGGAATTCAAGAGAAACTCAAAACATTTTTAAGAATCATACAAGTACTTTTAAGCAATGAAGTCATAGGAGCTACAGTTGGATTACTTTGAGGGCTAATAACCTTTTTTAAAAAATGATGCATTGAAATTAAATAATTGTTGGTAGTTATCAAGTATTTGAATAGTGAAAGGCAGTTTATTTGAAAAAAAGTATGGTTTCTGTATTAATCCAGTCAAAATTCTCTTTTCTAGTCAGATAAAAGATGAATTATGAAGATGATTAAGATTTTGATAAAGAAAAAGTGTCATTTCCATCCACCACCACAGTCTAACTGCTTTGGTGATATTTATCATGAGAAAATAATGATTATCTATTTTTATCTTTCTGTATTTATACATAAGTGTAACTATTGAACACAAGGAATATATATATGTATTACAACCGTAAACCTTTTTATAATGAATTCTTTCAATAAAATATACACGGTAGACTCAGGATTACTTTAATTATTAGCGTATTTCCAGGTGCAGAATTTCTTTGCAATGATATGAGTTAATATAGATTATTAACTTACACAAACAATATCCAAGGTAATATCACAAAGTTTTCGAATATCGGCATTTTTATCATGCATCAAATCGACAAGATAAGCAACAGCTTCTAGAATACGGTTAAGATTTGTTTTGTTTTGTTTTTTAAAAAGAAAAACAACAACCATGTAATGAAATAAAACATGAATGACTATGAAATTCATGTTTAATATACTTTAAACAAATATGATTACAATTATACAATGTGAAAATAAACGTTCTCATGATAACTGAAATTAGTGTTTAAAATAAGCATTTCAAAACATAAATATCAGCTAGAATCTCAGTTTTAAGAAGTTCACAATGTATGATTAGTGTCTTATCAAACTCTCCCAAGCATTAAAGTAATAATATCGAAAAAATTATGTCAGTATAGTTGAGGAGGCAAGAACAGGGATATATTGATTTGTTTGTGCGTTTTCAATAAGTATTTATCAAACATTTGGTTCATGGTATTTTTTACCCTTTAAAGTGTAAGCTGTCTTTGATTTGCTGATCATAATTATATCTTAACAGTATAGGCATTGTGGACTCCGCCTGGAGTCCCCCCGGGGCTACTGCTGGTCCCAAGCTCGGATAAAGGAGGAGGATTAGGTATGGGGTTAGCGACCCCATTCCGTAGAAAACTAACTCGCTAAAAAAATGCGAACCAGAAAAAATTATTCAAACCATTTAAACTCTGTCCTTCGCAGTCAGAAGGTCTTCATTTAGAAGAGTTATGACGCCTCATGATGAAAGCCGAGTTCCTTCGAAAGTCACGAGGCCGATGCCCCTTCTGACAACCAGAGCAACCACTTATTTAGGTACATGGAATGCTCGTACAATGTGGGAGACTGGGAAAGTCCTTCAAATTGATGCAGAAATGAGGAGATACAACCTAAAGGTGCTCGAGATTAGTGAAACACATTGGACGCAAGTTGGACAAGAACGATTATCTTCAGGGGAGCTTCTGTTATACTCCGGACATGAAGAAGAAAATGCCCCACATACACAAGAAGTTGCATTGATACTATCTAAACAAACACAAAATGCGCTTACAGGTTGGGACTCTCATGGACCAAGGATCATCAAAGCCTCCTTCAAAACAAAGAAAGAGGGCATTACAATGAACGTCATCTAATGCTATGCGCCTACCAACGACTACAATGAAGACGCTAAAGATCAATAGGCTGCACTATATTCCCACACAAACGCATACACAAAATCACATGGACTTCACCGGATCACACTACGCAAAACCAAATCGACCATATCTGCATCAAAAAAAGTTCAGGAGGTCAATGGAGGATGTGAGAACCAAGAGAGGAGCTGATATAGCATCAGATCATCACTTGCTGGTCGCCAAGATGAAATTGAAACTCAAGGAGCACTGGACAACGGGGAGGACAATATCACAAAAATTTAATACGGCTCTTCTTCGGGATACTGACAAACTCAACAAATTCAAGATAGCCCTCAGCAATAAGTTCCAGGCCTTTCATGATCTACTTAATGGAGAAGAAACTACTATGGAGAGCAACTGGAAAGAGATAAAAGAGGCAATCACTCCAACATGTCATGAGGTTCTTGGCCAAAAGAAGCACCATCACAAGGATTGGATCACGGTCGATACACTAGATAAGATTCAAGAAGGGAGGAACAAGAAGGCAGCAAACAATACCAGTTGAACAAGAGCAGAAACAGCCAAGGCACAGGCTGAATACACAGAAGTAAACAAGCAAGTGAAGAGGAGCATCAGAACTGACAAACGTAAATATGTGGAAGATTTAGCAATGACGGCGGAAAAGGCAGCAAGAGAAGGAAACATGAGACAACTGTATGACACAACAAAGAAACTCTCTGGAAATCACCTTAAACCGGAACGACCAGTGAAAATCAAGGAAGGCAAGATAATCACCAACATTGAAGAACAACGAAACAGGTAGGTAGAACACTTCAAAGAACTCTTGAATCGACCAGCCCCACTGAACCCACCCAACATCGAAGCAGCACTCACGGACCTCCCAATCGATGTTGGCCCACAAACAATTGAAGAAATCAGCATGCCTATCAGACAAATCAAGAGTGGCAAAGCAGCAGGACCAGACAACATTCCAGCAGAGGCACTGAAAGCAGAAGTAGTTGCAACTGCAAGGATACTCCATATTCTCTTCAGCAAGATTTGGGATGAGGAACAGGTACCAAAAGACTGGAAAGAAGGATTTCTGGTCAAGCACTAAAGAAAGGCGATCTCAGCAACTGTGATAACTACAGGGGAATCACTCTTCTCTCAATACCAGGAAACGTCCTCAACAGGGTATTGTTAAACAGGATGAAGGACTCCGTAGACGTCCAACTTCGAGACCAACAGGCAGGATTCCGTAAGGAAAGATCGTGTACAGACTAAATCGCAACTCTACGGATCATTGTGGAACAATCAATTGAATGGAATTCATCACTCTATATCAACTTCATTGACTACGAAAAAGCATTTTTGTCAGAAGGGGTTTTGTGGAGATTGTAGTAATTTCAATGATTAAGATCATGAGTCAGTTGAAGCTAGACCACCATGGAAAACCTGGAAGCACTGAGGAGTCCCATAATAGGACGAAACGGCCGTCCAGTGCTTCCAGGTTTTCCATAGTGGTCTAGCTTCAACTGACTCATGATCTTAATCATTGAAAAAGCATTTGACAGCGTGGACAGAACAACCATATGGAAGTTTCTTCGACACTACGGCGTGCCTCAGAAGATAGTCAATATCATACAAAATGCCTATGATGGATTAAACTGCAAAATCGTTTATGGAGGACAGTTGACAAAGTCGTTTGAAGTAAACACCGGTGTCAGGCAGGGTTGCTTACTCTCACCCTTTCTCTTTCTCCTGGTGATCGACTGGATCATGAAGACATCAACATCTGAAGGGAAGCACGGGATACAGTGGATAGCTTGGATGCAATTGGATGATCTAGTCTTCGCAGATGATCTGGCTCTTCTATCGCACACACAACAACAAATGCAGGAGAAGACAACCAGTGTAGCTGCAGCCTCAGCAGCAATAGGTCTCAATATACACAAAGGGAAAAGCAAGATTCTCCGGTACAACACAGCATGCACCAATCCAATCACAATTGACGGAGAAGATTTGGAAGATGTACAAACCTTTACATATTTAGGCAGTATCATTGATGGACACGGGGGATCTGATGTAGACGCGAAGGCGCGGATCGGCAAAGCAAGAACAGCATATCTACAACTGAAGAACATCTGGAACTCAAAACAATTGGCAACCAACACCAAAGTCAGAATTTTCAATACAAATGTCAAGACAGTTCTACTGTATGGGGTGGAAACCTGGAAAACTACGAAAGCCATCATCCAGAAGATACAGGTGTTTATTAACTGTTGTCTACGCAAAATACTTCAGATCCGTTGGCCGGACACTATTAGCAACAACCTACTGTGGGAGAGAACAAATCAGGAAGAAGCGCTGGAAGCGAATAGGACACACACTGAGGAAAGCACCGAACTGCGTTACAAGACAGGCCCTCACATGGAATCTTCAAGGCCGAAGGAGGAGAGGAAGACCAAAGAACACACTACGCCGGGAAATGGAGATCGACATAAGAAAAATGAACAAGAATTGGATGGAACTAGAAAAGAAGGCCCAGGACAGAGTGGGTTGGAGAATGCTGGTCGGCGACCTATGCTCCATTGGGAGTAACAGGCGTAAGTAAGTAAGTAAGTATAGGAATTGTGGCGATTGTCGAATGGTGCTGAGATCACAGACCGATGTAAACTTGGTGATCATTAGAAACCTGGAAGCACTGGGCGGCTTCTTTGCCCTGGTATGGGACTCCTGAGCAATGCACATCCAAAATTCCGCCTTGGAGGATCGGACTCGGAATCTTTGGTCTAGCGCGCAAAAGCTTACCCTACAAAGCACTGAGTTGAGATTCAGTGGTGAACAAGTCTAAATCCAATCAATTCATGTTATTCTCTCTTGTTCATAAACAACAACCAATCAACTTTAAACAGGTTACTGAGGTTTTATGTGCCTGTTGCGATATATAAGTTCGAGTACGTTATAATCTCATATTTCCCTTGCGTAACTAAGATAGCTGTGCATCAAAATGACGAAAGAACTTGCAAACATTCGTTTAGCTTTTCAGTGTTTTGATTGGGAGCTATAATTGGCGTAATTATATTGGAAAAAATGGTTACGATGTTGTTCGATTTATTGATATAATTGTAATATTAAATAATGCAGTATCAATAAATTAACTGAATCCGAAATCCTTTAATAACATTCGGGCCAATGCAATTATTATTATCGGAAAATACAATTTGAAGTTGATCAAATAGTTCTCGGTGAAGTGTGATCTGCATGATTATCGATGCAGTCTATAGTGTTTGCAGAACGAAAGAGCACTATATTATTTCTCACTTAGGATTTAGAATTCGTAGGTAACTGTAAAGTTTAGTAAGAAATCATAACATTTAGTGACAGGTTGATTTCTAGCTTTTCAGATCATTTAGTTATACCTAAGAGGTGTTAACAAAAGAGTGTTGTGAACGTAGATCGGTCTAATAGCTTTCCATTTTAAGCACAACCAAATTTTACGTTTATTTTAGTTGGAAACACTAGATACCTTGCATGCAAATAAATCAGTTGATTTGTGTACAAATCCCAATAATACTTGTTAATGATCAATTGTTCATCATGTAGCCTATTCAAAATGAACCTTTAACTGGACAATATTCAAATGATTCTTAAAAGATAAATAAAAAAATGATAATTAGTACTCACGTGTCGCTTTTACTAACAGATTTCTTGTTGGTTCATGAAAGGTTAACTGGAAAAATGTATAGACGATTTGAAAAACAATTTCGTCATCCTCCTGTTTAACTGAAAAAAATAATCAGATATTATGGAGTGTGATTTCTGATGTTAAGATATTACACACGTAGGTCGTACACAAAGTAAAACAATTATCTTTACCCATAATTTACTGATTTGTAAGTAGCGCCATTTTTTTGAGAATAATTTTAGCCAAATCTATTCTACCAGGCAATATTTCACACCCTTTCAAGTAAGTAAATGAATAATTTAATTCCTCACTTTAGGTATTAAAACTCTAGATCATAAGAACAATGATTAAGGCTTCGGTCAATAGGATTGAACAATAATTCTTACTATTTATGTGTTCTGCATTGATTGAAAGGATAAGAGCTTGCATATAGTCCTAATTCCCACTGTGATTCTTTTGACAAGAACATAACAAACCTTCTGCTATGTCTGATCGTTGCTGCTATCTTGACGTGGTTGTCGGGATTGCATAACGAAATGTCCCAATTAAGCTATGTTGGTTGGAACACTAGTTTCTTTTAGGTGGGTCGGGTTGGACTAAATGGTTAGAATAAACGAAGGAACTTAAGGCGGGAGTCGTAATGCTGGTTGTAAAGGAGTGTGACAGCAGACTTCCAACATCCTCACAGATGCTAGGTTGTCGCAATAGAAGGGACAGGCTGGAAAAGTTGACCCTAACAATTTCATACTACACCTTACCCAACGAGTTTTCATTTCCGGTTATAAGGCCTTTTGAAGCGCGGAGCTAACACGTCAAGAAATTTCGACAAAATGGTCGTGTATGACCGACTTCAAGTAGTTTTCATTTGGGTTTTATGATTATCCTCCCAAGCAGCTATGACCATCACCAATCCAGTTTCTTTCTCAGGTCCCTTAAAAATAAATATCCCTACACGGTCTGAACAACCGGATAGTGACCTAAAATCACACGGGATCACCTCGTTCTTCACCTACTATGCAATGTGAACTTTGTACTGACACTTATTTGTTATGGCCTACAGTTATCGTTGTGATAGCAAGTAAATTTACTCTAACGATTCCAAAGCACATGTGAAAAGACTGGTACTAGCTAAAGAAATTCATTTAACCACGTCATTTGGCTTAAACATAAACTTCTAAAACATAAATAGAAGCAACCGCCACAAAATCAGTACGGTAAGTTAGTTCCATTATAGTTTTATGATATAGTAGTTAATCTTAAACTCTACATTCCTAATATATAACTGATCTGGAAGGTTTCATCGCATGTAAACTACAAAAGAGATCGTACAGTGTATTATAAAACATACTAATGTTAACATGGAAAAACGTTTAACACTACAGAAAACAGTGTACATGTATAGAAAGTGAATGATAAGCTTTTGCCCCCATGATATTAATTTGAAAGCATCTAACAAACCACCATATTGAAAAGTAGTTCTAGATATCAAGATGACATACAAATCCAAAAACGTTCAAAGTAATCAAGTTAGTTTCAAGAGATCTATGATTTATTTGAAATATGTATCAAATGTAGGTGTCAAATTTCTTTAAGTAATATGAATGAACTTGATTTAACACTATGGTAAGGTAAAAAAGTAAAACATTTGTGAATGGTGCAAAGTTTGTAATAATAATACCGGCTCCTTACCTCACGCATGAACAAATCAGAAAAGACCACGTAATAATAAAACAGAAGTAAAAAACACGTGAAATGACACATATGAACATCAATCTGTATAGATGGATTTTAAATCATAATATGAAGAAAAATTTGATAAAAGGTAAAGTAAAAGAGTAAAATTAATAATTTTGATGGTGAAAAATTGAAGAAAACAAATTGCGAACGAAGTAAAAGTATGAAGTTATGATACGTCAAAGATTTTGAACGAGTAAATCTGGATTGCTTGAACGAATTTTTAACTGTATCACTTCGTCTCTAAACGCCTAATGAGTTCTGATCAGGATGTATGAGTTTTCAAAGGCATACTAGAAGGCAACAAATGTCTGTTTCAGATTCTGGATTACAAATGAATTTAACTGAAACTTAGGAATGTTTCATAAGATTATTAGGAATAATGGATAGGAATGAGTTATGAAGAACACCGGTCATTGATGTGCTACATAAGTTGTTGAAAAGCTTGAAAGTATTTAAGTTCAAGAGTTTACAATCTAATGGTGTTTATTAGCCATAATTCAATCCGTCTCTGATATTTGAAGCGATAGATGACATATTAGAGTGTAAGTGGGAACATTAGATAATTTTGATGTAAATATATTTGCCTGATGAGTTCTGAATACCATGTACTCCGCAAATTGGATTCTACTGTTAGCTTCGGAAAATCAGAATTTGTAGGTATTATAAAAATGTGGTATCAAGAGTCTTGGTAATAACAGTCGAAATGTCCATAAGGCCTAACCAGGACGCGCCTGTAAATTTACAACGAAGAAAAATTGGAAGCTCCCATAAAGTATCTTTATCAAACGGGTAGTGAAGTTGATCACTTTGAAGGTTATTACTCCCTTTCATGCACTTAAACGTCTTACGAATTAGAGAACTGTTACTGAAAAGATATATTTAACAATGTTTGCATCGATTTGCATACACAGGAAAACTGAGTGACAATAACCTCAACAGGTTAAATGAGTTTCATAAAAAGTATTATACAATGTATATATAAACTGTGACATACCGTTCAATAAACTGATCAAGTTGTGTACGATTCCAGCTTCAATTACCATTTTACCTGCATCAGGATCTTGGCATATGGCACTAAGCATTCGTACAATTTCTAAAATTTCATCATCTTCTGGATGACTGGGAAACATTGGTGATGAAAAAATTGGTCCGAAACCATTGATAACTTCGGAAGTTGTATTTAACAAATCATTCGATTTTTGAACATGTACGCTTTCCAGTTGGCTTTTGATCCATTTCAGCAAACTGAATTCGGTGATTACTTTACCGTACTGAATATCCTTAAGATTGAGGTTAGCTAAACAACCTAAACATTCAAATTTGAAGTCTTCTTCTTTTTTTCTAAATTCATTTTCGTCGTCATCATCATCTTTTTTGTTGTCGTTATCATCATCTTCATCACAAATACCACTACTAACGTCGTCAGTCTTGTGAATTTTTATTTTTAAGCGGTTTTCTAATAAACTTGAAGTGTTGTTCTGGTTGGTTTTGGAGTTCAATGCCTCAACGTTCAATTGATTTTTATTACTTACCTTCAAATCATCATATCGAGTTGCTTTTGTAGAAGGACAAAGATTTCTTGGTGTATTCATCAAAAAGGGTTTTTCTTCAGTCACAATTTTTAATAATTCTGGCAGAAAATCCTTCAAAATTGGTTGGACAGAGTAAACAAAATAATAAAAGACAGTTAATCAAAAGGTTTAAATTTTTAGGAGGAAATAGTTTTAATGTTATTTTTCGTAATCTAGCTCCGGGAAAAATGTTTATAGTCATAGAGCTTCACTTCTCGCTGTTGCACCACACAGAGACTTACGTTAAGAGAAGCTATGGGAAAATACTATTTGTGAGATTGAAAACTCACGGTTTTCGGGTAAAACAAAGTCTAAAATATGGATATCTAAAAGCTTCACTAGGTAGTATATGTTTATGAAACAACGAACTAACTGCATCATTTGTCAAGTACCATAAAAAGTTTATGGGGATATTTTGAATTTCATAGTTAACATTGTGAGCTGATCTTAATTGAACAACCATTGGAAACCAGGAAACACTGGACAGCATTTTTGTTTCAGTATGAGACTCTTTAGCAATACATATCCATGGCCCCACAACCAGGGTCAAGTTCTGAAAGATGAATTTACTTTAGATTACATGTATCTAATGTTCGTAAACGATTATTATAATGTGTTGTGACAAACACGGTCAAGTAGGGAATAATATAAATAATACAATAGTTATAATTAATCTTCTCGGACTGTTTTACACTGTTACTGTTACCACAAGGTATTTGGGCTATAATGTTCAGATGACTGAATGAAAACAGTACATTTTGCTTCTTTGGAGTGAATACTGGGCTACACAAAATAGGTTGAATTATGAGCAAACAGATTGTCTCGATACTACATAAGGTTAATTGTTGTGAGAGAGCATCACTAGTGGTTAAAGCTATAATGGTAGGTCTGTAGGCGAAAAGGGAAAATTATTAATTAGATATTTTATCTAATGACCCAATTAGGGAACATATAGTTAGACCTCCAGGATATAATTGTTGCCATCTATGACAACCACTATTCGATTTATATCACTTCGGAAGTTTTTAGTTTCACAGACGACTAAACAAAAACAACGGTATTTGGAAGAGTCGATGTTATTGTTTAATAGCTTCTACCAAATTACTATATTGTTTAACAAGTAAATGATTAAAGTTAAGAAACTACGTGATTTTCACAAAATATACATTTAAATTAGTAAAAACATCAAAATCTACAATTACTTACTACCATCTTTAGTTTTAATAAATCATTGTTCTCTGTTGCATTACGTAGTAACTTCATGATTAATTGGTCACGGAATTTTATTGCACGCTTACTCATCAGTTTAAAACATCGACCTTCACCAAGCATAACATTTGCACATTGATTATCTAATACCAAATTAATACCTAGAGCCATTGGAATTAAATCGGATTTCTCTTCAGGATTTTCTAGTATTAACTTCTTAAGCTAAAAGTAGGGAGAAATTCACTATTTATTCATGTAGCCTGAAAATATAAATGACGATAATGCCATATCCAATCAGTGTTTTATAATTATCATCAGTAGTTGCCATTAAACAGACATTTTGTGTAGAACTAAATAAATTTTATGAGTAAATTAAATGGATAGAAGATGCTCTTCATGAATCATTGGTAGATAGACATGCAGACAAAAAAATGTCAATTTAGAACATAGTAACTCATGGCAATTTAAGGTAACATTCTTTTAAATGACTCAAAAACAAAGTCATTACAAGCAAGAAGATAATCAATTCAAGTGAGAGAAGTATAGATGGATAGAAGGTAAACAGATGGAAAGAAATAAGAATATTTAAAGTTTGGTGCGAAATAAAGACTCAACAACTTTAAACGAGATTAATTGGCACGAAGAAATAGAGATTTCCAGAACTTGAAGCATTCCTGCCGGAAAACTTACAGTTCTGTTGTGGTATCACCTAATCCAAAATTTATGGTGGAAGCACTTTTAGCCTTTTGGTAAGCGGATTTAACTCTTGTCCTCATCGCTTATCTAAGCATTCATAGGTCAGTATTACTAACAAATTCTTCATCCCCATCAACTAATAAGCAATTTTACATATTTTCAAATCAGCGTATCTTTACTGTCTAGGACTCCTTGTGTGCTAGTAACACTGAGAAAGGAAAACAGTACAATAAATTCGATATCCGTTCCAATATGGTGACTATGATGTTGCAATAGTTATTAATAGTTCACATCATGAAATCACTTTGTTCAGCTGTTATATCTTCTGTCGTCCTTACCAATCAATCAGTATTAAAGCAAAGATGATATCCTGTTCCAAAAAAGTTCGCGAAAATCTAAAAATGATATTTGTTTGTGCTGGTGGTATTATTTGTGTATGAAATTTAATACTTTATCCTGAGTTTTATGGCCAGTTATCAATCGGACTTATGTTTTCATTATCTTACTATAACACGACATCTATCCTATCCATATATTCAGATATGAACCAATTCAAAATTGTTCATTTATATGATTCCGAAATTACATCGAATGATGTATTAAAATTATTGTTGATATCTACCCACTTTACACTCATTTACTAATCATGAATATTTTATGATAATAGAATTTACTACCAGCATCCAGGGCTAATGATTTAACAACCAATAAAAATTGAAAACCGTAGTGAGAGGAAGGTTTAGTTATCAAATCACACGAACTTCAGTCACTGGGCTGAAATTTTGAACAGCTTTCTTACGACATCCTTTTAAACAACTATTTAGCATCATTAGCTTACATACAAAATGTGAGCCTCAAGGTTTAGTGCATAGATCTGTACTTATCAAATGAGTTACAAAAGTTTACAGAACTTAGGAAACAAGCTGAAGTACACCATTCTTATAACTTATAATTTGCAATTTTTGATTTCGGAGACCAATGTTACTCATGGTTCTTAGTACAAAGATTCTGCGGTGAGGGATATTTTGATATTATTTGCTGGATGATGTATTCATCTCTTCAATTGATACCGAATATCTCAAAATGTAAACCCAGTGTTAGAGTATATGTAAATAGAGTAGACTAATTCATTATGACCATTATTGGAAAATTACAGCTTTCATGCCTTAATAGCTCAGAGATAAATCGATTTATTTTAAATTGAGTTCTGGGTTCAAGTACCAAAAGAAATCCCACACAAAAAAATGCGTCATAAAATCATCCAGATCAAATATCGAAAATAAATCTACAAACAAGGTTGAAATGAAAAATTGTACAAATATATTTCTTACAATTTTGTGTTTAGTAAATCAGTATTTGATTCAACGTCAAATGAAAACAAAATGATAACTTACGAATGATAAACAATGTGTATTGACAAACGCCGGTCTCGATTGAGCTTCTGTTGTTAAATGGTATAGTATGTACAATGCTACTGGTTGATGATGAATATTTTCTAATTAAGAAAAAATACTATTGATTTAATAAATAAGATAAACTAAAATATATGATAGTTCAGTATTTTGTTTAAATATAGAAAGTGGATTTCTGGGAGAAGTAACGAATAATGAGACAAATAATAGCATAATGAAGCTACTGAAACAGAGACCATAAAACCTTTTTTTATTTTTAGTAATAATAATAATACAATCAGAAGCAACAAAGAACTTTCTTTAGCTTCTTATACTAAACGTTTACGAGTCAGAGAAAACAAAACTTGGTTGCCAACGTTAACACCTACAAAATCAACATAAAACCATGTCAAGCCATTACCTTTTTAAAATGTGAAAAGTTTATTCATCTATGCAATGTGAACAGATAAAATCATCCTTTATTTCATGAAGTTACAAAGTGATTCGTCATTTTTAAGGAATCATGTAATATAGGTACTAATGCGCAAGACTGTTTATATCCAGCTTGTCAAGTACTGATCTCTTACCTGTAACTCCATTCGTAGGTTTATCTCCAGCTTGTCAAGTACTGATCTCTTACCTGTAACTCCATTCGTATGTGATATAAAACTGTAGGGAGATAGTGATAAGAGGTCTTATAAAATAACCTGATAGGAAATTCATAAGCATTTAGGATGCTTTATATCTGTCAATAGGAAGACGCTACGAAACCTATCTTGCGCAAAACTTAAATTATGAAAGTATGTAGTTGTTGAGTGTGTTAACCACCTCAGATGTTTGGATTTTGTGTTAACATGAATCCGACAGTGGCAGACAGAGTCATAGCAAATATACATAAAAGCTTATTGACATCTCTCAAAAATATATCATGGCAGTCGTGAGTAATCCTAGTTTTTATAAAGCAGTTCCTTTGTGAAACAAAAAAGTTGAAGTTAAATATTGTACTAAATTAACAAGTATCTGACTATAGGGATATTCAGAACACTGTTTGAGCACAGATGAATTATAAAATATGTAACATAAAATATTGTCGTTGTTTACAAGTACGTTGTCTCTCATATATTGGAATCGTTACTTTCCCCTTTTATTTTCATGGTAAGGTTTTTCTTTTCAAGTTTGTTTTCCAGTTGAAGTTACTAGTTTCTGCATTTTTTCTAATAAATGTATTTCTACCTTTATCTCATAAGTCAGATATATAACTAATAAGACAATCTTGAAATTATTAAAACTACCCCAATATTCCAAAAATTGTCTGGGGAAACTTGTAACTTTTGTTCAATTATTTTGAATATATGGGAGAAATTAAGTACCTAATTGTCTGGAAATCAGTAAGAAGATTATTATTGTCATAAATTATAGTCTCATAGAAAGAGAGGAACAATAGAAGGAAGATGGTAAAAGACATCAGGAGACAGAATAAAAAAACTGATCGGCAAACAAATATTTATAATATAATGTCCTCAATAATTTTAATCCATGTGAACTTATGATTTCAATGCTACTTATTATTATTATTTGAATAAGTAACATGGTAAAATTCTGCAACAATTAATATTATATACTAATATCAGTTGGCGGATGAACGGATGTATATAGATTTATCACCATCTGTTCTCAGATCTTCTGGGTTTTTTAAATCTTAGATATTTACACGCTGGGATGGATTTTCACTTGTGAAATTATTCATCTGTGTTTGATATTACGCATCAATAATTTGATGGAAGCATAGATCATCTAACAAGTTAACTTTTAAAATTGATAAGGCAAATATTTCGGTTCATCTCATGTAACATAAAAAAACAGTGAATCTCTAATTATGTACAGTTTGAATACAGTTTTATATTAGTCACTAGTTGGACAGTAAATGAATTTATCTCATTTTGGTAATAATGAAAATTCTTATAGAGTATATTGATTCAAAAATATACGGAGTCAAAGATGTCTTAGTATATAAACTGAAAACATCTCCGAACAACATGAGCTTGTCTATTCAAATTACTTGAACGTTTTGTGTTGTAAACGTCTTTCATTGTTTGGATCAGATCTACTGAAGATCCAAACCTGCATTAAATATTGAAATTGCTTTGGAAGTGGAACTAATGGCTTTCGTTGACGATATGTGATATTAAAAGAGACAAAGATGTGCACATATAATTCAAAAGTAGTTGTTTTGAACTATGACTAACCTTTACCCTGAGCATAGTCATAACGTAATTTAATCAACTATTATTAGTTAAAAATATAAATTGACTCTTCAACTCACCTAATAATCCTACAATTTTATTTAAAACACCTTTGGACACCATTTCTAGTCTAGCAGATGTATCGAAACTAAGGTTATATAACAAACGTAAACACAAATTAACGAGATCCTCTTCTGGTCTACATAACATTTTGGATAATTTGTCAATTACACCATTTTTTAACTGAAATTTAATAAGAGAATGTAAAACGGTTTGGACGGTAATCAAAATATACTGAAAACAGAATAAAATCAAAATTAATATTAAATAAGTGCTATTTCCTAGGTACAACCATACACAATAAAGAATATGACATAAATATGAATAGTTCCCACTCTCAACAATACCGTGAACATCGCTTAAAGTCACCTAAAGCAAAGCAGTTAAAATAAAACCAAGATTTATCAAAAAATCAGAAGAAAATAAGTCGAAAACGAGTGAAAAGTATCCAGTAATACTGAACTCAAAACTTGGAGCAAGATGAAGAATAAACACTTTTGGAGATTCATAATCGATCTTCACGAATCAATTTCAAGTCCTGGTATTCCATAACGTTACCTCTTTCCAACCCATGATACTATGGTATCTAGAATAATTCATGGTGGCAAACAATAGCTACATATAGGTAACATGAATCTTGATCGTCTCAGAAAATGAAAATTAACAGATATCTTTACGGACTGACTATATTTATTTACTATTTTACGTTTATTTACAAGAATACCTTACACATGAGCTCCATTATAAGCAGCCAGTGCCCAAAGGATTTTTATGACTGAATACTTTGACCAATGTATGCCTCCCATTTCTATGGGATAAATTTCACGTAGTTAAAATAATACTGTGGGATTACGAACAACATAACATCTACATAAAAGGTAGAAGGAAATCTTGGTTAAGTCATAAGTGGTGTGACTTAGCAGAAGTTGACTGTCATTATTTCAAGTACAAAGTGGGTGCCTATACCTATACATACTTTAGTTTTCCTTTAATACTTTCCCAATCAAACGGTTTTACTCAAAATGACTTGAATCTGAAAATCAGATTTTTGACGAGAGAAACTAGATGTGTTTCCTGTAGTTCCAGTGAGTAGCCGTGACCAGTGGAGTTCAACGAGGTCTGTTGCGAGACATATACGTACTGAAGATAATGATGGGAGGTCAGGCAATATCGTGGGTTGTTTGAAGTTAGACACTAACACTGTTGGATGTCGGCTCAGTGTTTTAGAGTTTGGCGTTTGCGCGTGGGACCGAAGGTCCTGGGTTTGAATCCTGTGTGCGGGATCGTGGATGCGCACTGCTCACGACTCCCATACTAGGACGAAACTGACATCCAAGGATTCCAGGTTGGTCTAGCTTAAATCAACTTATGAATTAAACTATTAAATTACTACAATTTCCATAAACCCTTATTCTGATAATAAAATATATGTATGCTGTTATCATTCAATCCAACTGGATATAGTAACCTATGTTTTAACAATCTAATTAGATAATTAAAAGCTAAACAAACCACGAACCGGTTACTACTAGAATACATAGACTGCTTCAAAATATGGATTCATCAAGTTGAAAGTATTTGGAACTGTTAAAACGTCATGATATGCTGATAAAACTATGCCATTAGACCACCATGCATTTGAGAACAAAACGTCTTTTTAATATATGGATCGGAATCCTTTATCGACAAAATTCATTTATACTATCTGATATTGCAATAAGTCTATTTTATAATTAGACTATATGAAATAGGATTGGTTGTTAGGTGAATAAAATTCAAATTTAATAATTTAACTTTTGCTTACCATTTCATCCTTGTTCTCAGAGAATATACTCAATTTTTTCAAAAATGAGACAAGTAGTATTAACAGTTCGAAATTATCTCGGTTCAAACATTTACAAATCATACTAACTATTCCTTTATTGTGCATTTTAATTTCAACACTAATGTCTTCACTGATATTCAGCAGTAAGTAAAAGGAGACTATAAATTATCATAGGGAAAAAAATACAGGATACAAATAAAGCGTTTTTTCTAACGAATACTTTCAATGATATTATTGGCCAATTATACAACATAAAGAAACATGGTCACCACAAATCAGTTAAATTTATTAAAACAAACGAGCTTATTAATCAATCAACAGCTTGCTCCAATATACTTGAAAAGTGTTCTTCGCTGATCACGTTTTTTTCACCTTTTGCTATCCATTTTTCTTTTGAGTATTAATTATACTACTTACTAATGTTCAGCAACTAATATTATTGTCAATCATTTATGAACATACAGAGTATGATGTCGCAATGTTGTTTTGTGGTATTTCTAGATATTTACATGGATCTGTAACATTCAATCTATCTGTTGTTACAATTGCATCTTTCTGGCACTCTTAACATTTGTTTCCTGTGTTTACACTAAACACCTTTTTATTTGTGACAGTTTCCATCATTTTAATTTTTAATTTTTGCTTCAATCGTTGACTGCCATTGTGATGTTAACACAACTATTGGATGTTACATAGCTTATCATATGTATTTGTGAACAGTCCTTATACATCTGTTGTAGAGGGTATTTTGTATTTTACTATACATTGGCATGGTAAACACTTTAAATACTTCATGAATTGAGATTTGCAAAATGCATTGCATATACTATTGTTAATACAAGCACCGTATTATAGATAAATTTCCAATTTTTGGTTTAGGAATTTCTATGCAAATGGTTTGGCCAGAAGCGTCAAGTGGATTTAATAGAGATCTTTGACTCAGAGTACCATTCATTCTCTCAAACGTTTCCAAACTATAAAGATCTGCTTTCTTTTTGTAAGCAGTTGGTAAGATCAATTTAGTTTTACATTTACATTTCTATTACCCATGTTTACTTAAATCTTAGTATGACAGAATATAAAGTCAATCATTTATTTACTTTAAAAATATTTTTGAAAGATAGATTCGTTAACTACCTAGAAAATACTCGTAAATTCTTATCTTCAGAATGAAGCATATCTAAAAACTAATAATCTACTCTTGAAGGAATGATTATCTTAGTTCACAACCATTTTTCCTAGATTTCCTCATAATATAAAAATCTCCATACTGATTCTTCACTTTCCAAAGCAATGGCACACCAACATAAACAAATATATTTAATGTTCATTTACGGAAGGGTTTGTAAAGATAATTCATAGTTAATGGAATAGTTAAAGCTCATAACCAATTATAAGAATACATTCAACGAACCGCTACATCACTTATACGATTGTAGCTTTGTAATTTCTATTTTGAGTAAATACAAGCGCAATATAAGGTTAAATAGAAGAAATCCGAAAGCCATTTTAATATGTTAATACTAATAGTTAAGAATTAAAGTTTTTAATATTAGGTAGTTAGAGGTAGTTGACAGTAAAAGTGCAAACGTGTTTGTCCTGGTTTCCACTACAAATGCTTTTTGTTATGTTTTTACTGAACTTTGAGCAGTGAAGCAAGATCACTTTAAATTCTTCTCAGGAAGGATAATTTAGGTTTACACTTATCTCTTATATATGACCTCCTATGTTTATATGCTAACAATAAACTAACTCTTACTGCAACGTGGTGGTCATCTTAACTCAGTAACTTCCTAAATAAAGCTGTACCATATACAGCTGATCAACCTCGAGTTAACTCGTGGGCATATATAACCAAGTTACGACTGAATAAAATATTGAGCCACACGCCCAAGGAACCCATATAACAACATAAACTGATAAATAAAGCCTGGCAGATCAATAAGTGGAATATACACACATTACTTACAGGCACAGTTATGTTGCAGATACGAATTAATATTTAATTGGCCACACTAATTTAAATGTTGAAACTGACAATCACCATCTTATGTCAGCATATTTTTTACTTTTCATTAACAATAATGTTACTTAACTTGTCTGTGGTTTATGTTTGTTCAACAGGCATCTAATATTTTAAGTGTATCGAAGTAAATGAGAATCGTATTGTAAGACATTTCTGACGATTATCAAAACAAATGATCGTTATGTTCCTCATCATGAAAGTTCAGATATAAGAATTGAATGTATCCGTTATATTATATTAAATGAATTTAAGATTATAACATTTCTATAACTGGCATATATTTGGATGGTGTAATAAAAAGACGAACAGTATCAGAACTATGTGATATATGACCCTAATTTGGAGATCACTATTACTCCTCCCTATACATGTGTGGCCACAAACATATTTGAATCGGTAAACTCAGTGGGATATTGCTCAATCGTTTTCATTTCTTTTAAGTTTTTGGTGAAGCATAGACCTTGTTATTCTTTGATAATGACCCTTGCTGTGTCGTACGTTGATGATGTAACCGTGTATCTTTTACTCATCTGTATATTAGCATGAAATAAATATGAATCGACCCTAACTTGTTTTTATGCCTAAATAGATTTTAGTAACTTACCCCTAAACAGCTGTTCTTGTTTCCTGACTAGTGATGTATACTTCAAAAAGCTTGTCTCATAGTTATTTTTTGCTTCATCCACCAAAGGTTTATCATCCGTTGTCAAACTTGTCTCAGATTTATTGTTCGGTAATTTATGTTTTCTTTCTAGTTCTTCCACCCATAAGTCATATTTCTTTAATTCATGGTCGATGATGGTCATAATTAATGCACCTTAAAGGAAAATAATTTTAACAAAACTAGGATTAAAGGTTTACTTAGAAGTTTAAAATGTCATTGGAATATGTTTGTAATGATATTGTTGCTCATTCAATAGATTATGTATTAAACACGCAGATGACCTATCTATTTGCTATCCTTGAAATGTTTTGCTAATAACTCTCCACGAAACTGACTAAAATTGTTTAACAGTATGTCAAATATGATATAGTTGATGGTGGTCTTAAAAAATTTTTCGTACGTACGTCTAGGAAGATTACCACTCTATATCTAAAAAAAATTTGTTCTCAACGAAAAATATCAAAAACATCTACTTAAAACATTGTCAATCTTTACGAACATTTACACTTAACATCGAAAATTGGCCTATCTAAGCAAGGTGGAATTTGGCTACAGATATGAAGTATGAAAACGTAGTTGTCCATTCGAAAAATACAAAGGAGGAACAAACAGATGGCAAAGGTTACTGCAACTAATAATGATAAAGCTCAATAGCAAGATGAGAGATTGGAATTGCGGCTTCTAGGCATAGGTATTTGGCTTTATTTGGTAGACTACTAAAGTCTCTTCTCATGAACAAGTTTCTGGTCAGTGATTCAGTTTGTTTGAATTCGTAGATAAGTTTCAAGGTTACTTGACTTGCATGAATAGCCGAAATTGATGAGGTGTCCATGAATGAAGTCATTGATCGTTTTGCATTCAGCTTTGACAACTATATGGAGCAATATTCGAAGACACGCATGGAAGGGGTAGGATCTATGTGACCGAAAAAATCTGCTGCACAGGAAGAATCAAAATGGTAGACAAACAATCAAGCCGTTCAAAGCAGCAGTCAGCTCTTAGCACACACTTTTGAATATAACAGTTATGACGAGGATGAAATACCATTGTGGAAAGTGAATGTTGTGAAGCAGGTGAAATTTAAGTCCGTCTATCAAAAAGCTAGTATATTGAACAATAGACGGTCCTCTTCTAATTGGAAGATATTAAACATAGTCTATAGAATTAAGAAATATAAATAAGGTCCAAGCATCTAATAGTGTGTATCTTAGAAGCACAGTATAGGGAAACATTAAATGAACAGTGTTATGAGTGGACGTAAAGTTTTTAATGAGAGCGTCAAGTCGATTAACGAGGTAATAAATGTTCAATAGCTAAGTTGGCTAAGACATGTTTCATGCACAACGTTTAATTACCCAACTTGAGTTGTAGTACAAGCTGGCCCAAGAGTACATCGGAAGAAAGTTTTGAGATCCTAAAAGAGGCATATCATTAGTCTAAGAGGTGGCTGAGCTATTCTGGTTGGAACACTAGTGATCATTTTAACCCATCGTTGGAAATGTTGCTTGCAATGGGCTAAAACTTATTACTCTGGTACAGATACACTTGCTAACTATCTCCCCTTAAATCTTTGGTTTCGTTTTAGTTCATGAACTTTATTATTCGAATAAACTCAATTATTTATAACCATATCTCACAAGTTATGCAGTAACAAATACAATAATTTCGTCTACACCTCCTTTTGCTTTGTTAATTTCTCCTCTAAATGTTCATCCGTGTGGTATGGGATGGTACGTTATTTAGTGTCCTGTCCTGAGCTATCTATGGATAAATGTGCACCAATTCTTTCAGAAGTGAAAAATACCTGTGTAGACTATGATATAGTGAAAATTCGTCACTTACATTAAAAGGATCAAGCACGACCCATAGATTAAGTGATGTAGCGATGATCATTACTCATGTACTGAGTGTTACAAGATACACTGTAAAGTTATAACGGAAGTGAAAACTAAACCATTTCACCAGGATCAATATTGTGAACAAAAACAGTATCAAAGTCGGTCATCTTGAAATCTTTAAAGAGAGTTAATTATTTACCGGTAAAATGACCATATCTAAATAAACCTACCAATTTTGAAATGTAATATTACCCCATGAAAATTTGAGAAGGAAGAAAAACAGAAGAATATATAGGCTATGTTTGTTGCTAAATCCGTGCTCTTTTTCCAGTCTTCACGCAGAACTCTTGCCAAAGCACCAACAAGGGTTTCTATGAAGAAAATATTCAAGTCCAATACAAGACGAAATCCATAAGTCGCAAATAAATATATGTTTGAAACACACAGTGTTAAGCCAGTCCATTAAAACAGTTACAAAGGAAGTTCGAACAAATACCTCAGATTTTGTAAATACAAATTTGTTTCGAAACTTAAAAATATGTTATCTAAACTTTTCAACCTTAACGTAATTAAAATTTTTCTTCAGAATTAGTGAACTGATGTTCCGAGAGGAAACATGAAACCTTTACGTGCTATTTTATGTCAATTCATTCCATGTAGCACGGGTTATACATCTGTTTGAAAATGATTGGTAACAAATCTTGAACGGCAGAACCATACTTTCCTACCCATGATTCTTGATTAAGAATAAATTAGGTAGACCATAGAAATAGAAATGTCTACGTCTCTATTTGTTTGTAACAGAACTATTCAAGTGATAGTTTTGGCGTTAAACACTAGGCTACGGGTAATATAAGTAAATGATTTGATCAAACCATAAAAACAAGTCGACTATGGGAGCCAAATTATACATTAGATACATTCAATTATGTCATATCCGGAAGTGCGGAAAGAGGAACACATGGACTGGATAAAAGAGGACTTAGTTGATTCAGTTTGAAACAACTTACCATATCCTAACATCAAAAGGTTATTTCTAGATGTACTATTATACTTTGGCTCTCTAACATAATTCACATGGATATAACAAACGTTTGTCTAGATGTATTGGAGGGAAATTCAGAGAAACATTGTGGGAACATTTAATATCACATATACAACAAAATATTTCAGTAAGATCTAAGTTAGTATAGTTTCTAGATTCATTTTATCGTACTCACCGTACCTCTAAAGTGTAAAGTTAGGCTCCGTAAAACATTCGTTACTACCAATAAACAATAATTTTACCTTTTTATCACTGTGATAAGCAGGTACAGAGTTTCTGTCTGTCAAGCCTTATATGTTATCAAAGTGTATGAGTCTATCATAGAGAGGTATGGTATACATTAAAGAATTTTGGCGTTATTTCTATTTTGTCAGTGAGTGATGAAAAGTGGTTATAATAGTTTTGGTAAGTTGTAGCAACAAAATAAACCACATTTTATGTTATAAATATCTATCTTGTATGAAGTCAACGAAATTTAGAATTTTCAAGCCTTAATCTGTGACAAAATTGAAGTACCTCATCAACATTACTAGTGCTAAGCATTAAATAATAATCCAGTTTTATGGACGCTAACTTAGGTATCTGTCTTTTTGGTCCTCTGGAAAGAACTAAGAATCTGAAGGACAATAAAAACAAAACACAAATTATGAAGATGTGGTTTTAACTGACCATTTTGAAACAGCTCCTCTAAATTGTCAGGATTTCTCGCAAGTTGTAAAATTAAGGCCGAGGCACGTAGCTTTTCTGATATACCTTCATATAGTAGTTCTAAATAATCATCTAGCTCAGTTAAATGAGCAGTTTCGTTTATTTCAGTCGAATCAAATGCTCCAGGATCGGCAAGTGTTTCTGATATGATCGATGATTTTTCTAGTAAAAAAATTAATTTAACACTAAAGATATAGAAATAATGACCAAAATTGAAGTTTATCAATCATTAGCAGCTGTATGAAGGGTAGTGCTGACTGTTTTATTACAACGTTTTCATTCAAGTCATTTGATTATCAGAAATGTACGTTTCATTAATGTAAGGATCAGATTAATTTAGTATCAAGCTTTTGCTAATATGAAAACTGGTAAATGAACTTTTCCACGAAAGATTTATTGAAATTCAAAAATTAGATAAATATTTCCATCCAGAGTTTTTTATCAAAATATAAGGAACCACCATTTTGACCTGCAATGTTTATGTTTTGTTAGCAACTTTTAGCTTGAGGGAGACATCTTTACTGTAAATTACAACAATATTGTTTTACAAATCAATTTAGTGTATAAAAGCTGAATTCGAAAAGCACCTACGAAGTCAGAAATATTAGGCGATGTCCTCGTTAAGAAGTGAAATGGATTTTGGCCATATATACCAACCAGCCTATTAAAATAGAATATAAGCTTGCAAAACATAAAGCAATGCTCCTTAAGATCAAAACATTAATTTCATATGGTAAGTACGTTCCGAATTGTGTTTCTGATTTTGTGGTAATGATATAATATTTTTATACATACGAATTTAATCCATGTAGTCAGATATGTACTTTTAGATGCAATTTGTTATAATAGGTTGTAGTGCAACATTAGCAGTTATTAACTACTGGGCTAAGCATAAATAATGTATAGTTTAGCCATGAAATGTTCAAACTATGGATGTTAAAACGGAAACAGATATATAATTCAGCAGTGAGTAATATTTTCTGGTCAAAAAATTTCGGTTTAGGATTTTGCAAACTAAATACACACCTTAAACAATTGATTAACAGTTATTTTGCCTCATTCGAATTTGGTCATTGATCGCACGCCCACAAATGACATTTGTTATGTCATTATTTTTTATGTCCTGCTAACTGGAGGTTGGTGAATAAATAATTCTTTATATAAAGTCATGCTGTCTTACTTGAGCAGACAATAGCTATAAGTGGCAGAAATCGGCTAATCACAAGGCACGGTGAGCAGCTTTACTTGTCGCAGCAATCAGAACTTGCTTTGATTCGCAGCACTGATATATCGACATTGTCTGTGTCATAACAGCGAGACAAACTTTTAGTGAGAGACGACAAGTGATCTAGATGTAGCTTGGTCGTAGTTTTAAAATGTATCTACCCTATAAATTTGACTGATACTTTTGAAATCCCTTAGTTGTCACTTGACTTAAGTAGTTACATTTCACCTGGCCGTTTGTTCTTCAAAGTTGTATGCAAACCTATTATATGAGACTATGATTTCTTTAGAAAGTTTCATGTTGTTAAGCAATCGAATTAGTCGGTCACATAGTTTTTCCATTTATTTGGAAAGTTAAAAATCCTGGCGTTTATATTTTTGTGAAACCCTAGCAAGTGAAAAAATTTAATAATTGATTTGAATATCTTTACTGGATAAAAAAGATGAACGGTTTTTCATCAGTCAAACAAGTGTGTCCTTTCATTTCACGTTGTAACGAACAATCCATTCTTCAGCCTTTTAGTTACTTCTCGGCTTACTAAGGGCAGCTAGAAATGTTTTCAAACTTTGTGCATTACGCGTTATGGGTTGTATTTTCATTAAAAAAATACCGAACAGTGACTATTAAATAAGTATGGGAACCCATTCTACCCGGTATTTATACATCAATATATTCCATGAAGCACGTTTGGAAAATAAACAGTGGTTTTTGCAGTGTGCAATTCCTGTTTTCAAATGATAGCTTACGAGTGGAAGATATAAAACCATAAATGATTTTCAGTAGTATGCAATGAATTCAGAATGAATCGAAAAATATTCAAGATCCAGCGGGAGTAAGTAATCAAACACAAGGCCTACTGGAATGACGCGTTTCCACGCCTTTTTAGGAAGCAATTACATAAAGTGAATATTAACGCAAAAATGTCCATCTTATAGTGTTTATAGTGTCAAGCATGAACAGTCTATTTTTAATGACAATGTAAATTTCCCTACTGAATAACCATATATTTAATGAAAACTGTCGGTAGAACAAAAAAACTAACGATTTTTAACTTTCTTCGTCTCTTTTCTTTTCAGCAAATACTTTAGTAAGTGTTCAACTTGTGGATATTTGTTTTCAGATATCAATTTACAACTTGAAATAATCTTTTTGGCCAGTTCAGGGATATTTGTGCTTTCATTCAGATTTCTAACCCGAATTCTATATATTTAGAATCTCATAAATCCATATGTCATTACATTTTTTGGCTTTCCTTTCGATCTCCAACCATTGGATTTCCTAATTCCCCAAGAATTGTAGCCTCCGTTTCATAGTGCACAACAAGTGCTTTTTCTGTTGGATGCACATCTATGGAACCAGCTCGTATTTTTCTTCGACAGTTTCGTCAATATTACTAACATACCTTTTCAGAAATTTGGCATCTTCAACCATTTTAAATTCCCGGTAGTAAACAAGGACAGAACCACGGAAAACAGAGAAGTTAATTAATTGACTGAATAAAACTGTATATACCATTCAATGAACAATGGACAGACCTAAACTTACACTTTTAAAGATCTGAAATAGATAGTTTTCTTCCAATAGTCATTTCGATGTGTGAGTCATTTCACAGATGGAGTTCCGCTCCATATTTTGGAGCAGATTAGTCGTTGATTCTAATGCTGTTGTAGAGGTAAATAAATCCCTAAAATAAATAGCTCTGTAAGTTTTCGACATTGGATGATCACCACATTAGTTTTAATGGACTCATCTGGCTGAAGGCGCTCGGTCATGCATCTGCGCCAGATCAGGTGTTGGGAACGCCGTGCTAAACATCGACTGCAGTCGCTAACCAGATTAGATCAGACGATCCTCGATATATTGATAGCCTATCAAATATATCTTCGATTCTTCTTGCTTCTGTCTTTTGATTTCACTTGGTGGGTACGATTCATATTAGCATCACAGACTTTGAAATGAGTATTCATGCTTCAGCAACTTACTTATTGGACATTAGCCAAAGATAACGGTTTATCTGTCGATGTAATATTCACAGACTTTAGTAACCATTTGACAAGCATTCTCATTTAGGTCTTATGCAGAAGCATCCAAGCTTCAAAATGGCAGGTGCTGAACAAAAATGGTTTGGAATCTTCCTCTATAACCGCAGACAGAAAGTAAGGGTAGATGAGACATTATCTGAATGGTAGTCGGTCAAGTGTGGTGTGCTCCAAGGTACCATTTTAGGCCCCATAGCTTTCCTTCTCAACGTCAGTGGATTACCCCGACTGCTTACACTGTCAACATTACTGTTTGCGGATAATTGAGGCTGATCACTATGACCTCCAGGCCAACCCAGACAAATTGTTTAAATGGCACCAAAGTCGGGGCTTAGAAATCAATGCTAAAAAGAATGTGCTCATGTACATCAGGCAAAGTTATGATTACCAGTATGCTATCAACAATTTATAGCTCCCATGAATGCAGGGACACAAAAACTTAGAGTTATTTGTAAATTACAACTGTGCATTACAGTTCAGCACTTAACAAATGTTTCCGAGAGTTATAGTTAACTCGTCGAGCATTCGCATGAATTAACGAGCGGGATATTTTGAATTTCATATCCCAACTATGCAGAAGTGTGGTGTCTGGTACTGTATCAAGCCAAAATGGGTTACTCTAGCCTCTGGATAAACCGACCTATTCATTTTTCGAAGTCACATTTCGTTTAAAGTGTTGTTTGTGAAGGCATTTTTTCTACTCGCTCACCAAGTTTCCGAATAATAACAGATGTACACAATTTATGCACTCTATTTTGTTTTTTTTAGTAAATACAATCAGACTGGAAGGAATTTAAAGTTAGACACTAAAAACCGTTTCAAAATGTCTAAACTTTGAAGGTGATTTACATGTACTCAATTGAATATTACACTGGGATATACTGAGTCTAACTCTCAGAAGAAGGTTGTCAGCTGCTTGCTGCGTATTCACATATTTTACCGCTAGTCAGGTTGTTACACAGATTTTTCACATATTTACACTTCATGGTAGTAAGTTATAATGCCAACACATCTGACTATCTGAGCTGTCAATTATGACAAAGAAGTCTTCAGTCGTTTCCAATTTGTTCAGTTTGTATCATAAGGTTTCTCCAGGTGTGAGTCAGAAAAATCACTCCAGATTAATTAACGGCTCTATAAATTTTTAGTCTTCCGGACAATGCTGAGGCAATTTGTGATAACTAGCTTCTCAACTTGGTCTGTTTGCTGTATTACATATGTATTGACTGTAGAATAACACAGAACTCTCAGCACAAACCGTACATCAAGTGGAACCGTTTCCGCATTAGACAGTGGAGGACTGGACGGTGAGTACATAATGACAGGTGTGGAGGTTGGAAGGCTGAAGCGAAAACATTACTGAGCTGCACGGCCAGTTTAGTCACACAACTCTTTTATCTTTATACTAAGCATATTATACGTTTCTAGTAGGATCTTGCGAAATAATGATCCTGACTGCTATGTTAGTGTGAGTCAATTTGTACAATAATGGGAATCCAAATCATGATTAGTCAGCTTTAAAATGCTGAGCCTGTCCGCTTAATAACAAACGTGAGCCAATTGGTGGCATTCATAAACCTTAAATTCAATAAATGTTCCTGTCATTAATCACAAAATCTCCGTTATTATGTTGATAATGTCTGTGTTTGAATCTGTTGTCACAGCTTATACTACTACTTTTTACACTGTTAGCTCTTCTTCTGTAATTACTATGTAGATTACAATTATTGATATATTAATGATCACTCTTACAACAATTTAATTGCTACTTCAAATATCTCCATCAATAATAATGTCATTAATTATACTATGAATGACAATAGTGTGACCATTTATATCACTAACAACTTTGTTGCGTTGAATAAGGTGCTAAATAGTACTGCTACTGTCTCGAGAAATTGGCCTACAACCACAGGAAACAACTGAAGCAACATTCAGACCAAACAAACACCAGTTCATTTACGGGCAGTCCATTGTTGTATAAGCCAACAGAAGTGGTACCTGTATACCCCTTCGTTACTATAAGCTATTTTGATATAGCTGTAGTTTAACTTGTCTACGTTTTACTGTCCTCGTTTACGATATATTCATACATTATGTCATCGATCTGATTTTGATCTACCGTTCGCTTAAGGTCTATGATGGAGTATAACAACAGCTGATTTATAAAACCTTGCTGAAATTCTACTAACCTGCTTTTCTGCCCTCAAAGCGTAGCAGCATTTCATTGGATATTTGACTGGGCGAAGCAACATTGCAAGATTGGAATCCACTCCTTAGAACATGTGTGGGCGAGGAGTAGCTGTTGTATCTTAGGGTCGACGTCAATATGGCAAAAGGTTGTACGTTTCGTCAGGTTCCTTTTTGTTGACGTCCATCACAATACTATTACTCAACTGCCTGGGCCACTTTATTAGTTCACAGTAAGACTATTGCCATTAATAATGTCACAATGACCAGAGATATCTACATGCCATCTACGTTTGACGACATAACAATCATGCCTAATGTCACTTCGTTAATCTTATCAGAGCTAATTATATGTCTGTCATTGTTTCCACCTGAGCAGACTAGTTTCTCTTTATTATCGTCATTTTTCAGGATTTATTCAATCTAGTAAGTTGAAATCGATTCAGCATTTATAATTGTTTTATGACTGGTGCCCTCATACTCTGGGATATCCCATTAAATCATAGTGCTTAAAGCTGCCACATATATTCGGAATTTGACAGCTCTTTTATACGTAACATATTTATGATAGAAGCATGCTAACACAGTCAAATCAGATGTCAAAAACGAAGTGGTTGGAAGATAAATTTGAAAGATTCTCGATATGTCGGAAAGCGTTTTGTTTAAGCTGGCTAACGGTTGTAAGAGATGCCCAGCACGAGGTACCCAGTCGTAATCTGGTGCAGATGTGTGACCGATTGCTTTAAGTAAGGTGTGTCTAGCAAAGCTAATGAGGTTAGCATCAAATATGGAAAACCCACAGAACTGTTTATTTTGGGGATTTATTTACCGCTACATACTTAACTGTTACAGACCCATTCGAGATGAATAAGGAAATGGAAACCCATATTCCATGAGCTGAAGGTGTGTACCTGATGTGAAAAGTTTTGTCACATCTTCCGCCATGAAATTCTATACTCTGAGAGGACTCAGTTGGGACAATGTTATATTCAGTAATAGTTCTCTGTTATAACTACACAACTGTCAAGTTTATAATGGTAGGATCTCGTTTTATTTCGTAATGCAGGCTAAATCCGTGTAGCAATTTATTCTCCAAAACAGCGTCGCTTGAAGTTCGTATACACAAACAAGTTTTTCCCTTGCATTGATTAGTGGGTATCATTCAACCCTCAATGCTACAGAGTCTTCATCCCATGTCATCGACTGCACACTGCTTTTCGTGATTTTTTCCAGGATACCGGGCGGCTTCAGTCTAGATCAAGACTTATCAATACCTAAGCTTCACTATGACACAACATCCTTTTATATTATGCTTGTATTGGTGTATATCAGTTACCTGCTATGGTTGTTTTTAACAGCTTAATTTCACTTTTTCGAAAATTCTCAGAACTAAATGCTTTTACTATTCACAACATAACATTGTTTTTCCTGTTTTCGTCATCAAAATTTATCATGACATAAGATAAATTATAACTCCGCCTGGAGTCCCTCTGGGGTTACTGCCGGTCCCAAGCCCGGATAAAGGAGGAATGTTGGGCATGGGGTTAGCGACCTCATCCCGTAGAAAACTAACTCGCTAAAATAGACTAACCAGAAAGAGACAAATTGTTGTCAGTGTATGGTAAATTGGACCCACAACTGCTGGTAATTTATAAAACGTGAAGAGAACAACTTTCATAAAATTGTGTACCAGGGAAGTTGCTTATATTAACTCATGACCAGGACGAATACTGCTACCGCTCCCAATACATGTCCTGTATTCATGTTCACTAATACATTTAATAAATAAAAATTTGACTTTTATATTGAGGAGTATTCGAAATAATTCGCTAACTAAGAATTTATTGTCTTCAATATATTTTCTAGCCATGTATTGGATTTCTAACTGCTCTATGTAGCCTCCATAGACAACCCCAATAAAATTAATTTCCAACTGTTTAAGATTTGAATTCATTTCAATGCTAGTATGATGATCAGAAGTATTCGAATTAATTCGCCAAGAATTCATGAAACGGTGCATCTTGAGGCGGGTAGAATTAGATTAATACAATTGGAGGTAACGTGTTTGTAATTCTTAAAATGTGTGCAATTAAGAACAAGCAAATCATGAATCAATACAAATACCGCAAGTAGTGCGGCGTATATTTACAAGTTGAACTACACAACATGTCTTGACTGCTTTCCTCCATATTTTCGAATATTCGGACCAAAATGAAAAACAAGAAACCT